CTTTATTTAATAATTCTTCTAATTGTTGTTTAAGTTCCTTAAGTTTTGCAGGTGCTATTCTGTAAGGTGCCTTGGAAATTAGGGCTAGCCCTGACAATAATTCAATAGAGAATTCAATTTTTCTATCAGGCAGTAATCATGGCAGTTCTTCAGGGAAAACATCGAGAAATTCTCGGATAACCGTAGTGGTATCCAAATTTATCTCTTCCTGCATATTTTCTTTGATAGAGGCGAGAAAGCCTTGACACCCTTTTCGAAGGAGGAGATTAGCTCGAATACAAAAGATTAAAAATGATGGCGAGTCTTCTTTGATACCATTGAAGTAAAATACTGGTTGATTCGAAATACTAAAGGTAACCATTTTCTTATAACAATAAATACTTGCATGGTATGCAGAAAGCCAATCCATGCCTAAGATTACATCAAATCTTGAATTCCTAGGAGTATTAAATCAACCAACAGTTCATTTTTTTCTATCTTTATTACACAGGATTTGTACAGTATATTAGTGTTAATTGAATTTCCCATCGGTGTGGCTACCTCTAGAATGTATTCTAATTGTTCTGGTTCTACCTTTAAGTGGCATCCAAAGTGTGGTGACACAAATGAATGAGTAGATCCAGGATCAATCAAAACACGAACTACTTTTTAGAAGATAACAAAAGTACCTTGGATCACTGATTTTGAGGCCTGAGCGTCTTCCTGGGTGATCGTAAATACTCTTCCCTTCATCTGAGGCTTTTGAGCTATCTCTCCCTGCTTTAGAAGCTGTTGCATCTGTAAGCTAGGACATTCTCTAATCTAGTGCCCCAATTTTCCACATTTAAAATAGGCTCTAGTATTCTAATAACAAGAGCTCGATCCATGCTTTTTCCCATATTTTTTACATGGTTCTATTGGGCTTTGAAGTGGCAAGGGCCTTGGCTTCTTGTTTGCCCTTTCAAACTGTTGTCGATTAGATGGTATGGGTCTAACCTATCTTTTCTGATTTTTTATCTTTTAGTAATCTTTGCAATCTTTTTCGACAATTTGGGCTCGATCCACTATTTTAGCATAAGTTTTCAATTTTAAGACTGATATTCTGCTTCTAATCGCTGGTCTGAGATCCCTTTCAAATTTTTTCACGTTTCTTGCTTCATTGTTAATCATATGTGGTGCAAACCTGGCAAATTCAGTAAACTTGGCCTCGTACTGTGCTATTGTCCGGTTTCCTTGGATTAATTCCAAAAATTCCATTTCTTTTTTGTCTCGAATAAAATCTGGAAAATACTTTTCATTAAATGCCTCTAGAAATACTTCCCAAGTCAATGGTTTATTTTCTTTGACCAATACTCCTTTTGCCATTCGCCACCAATGTTGTGCTCACCTTCTAACATGAAAACTGCTAAGGCCACCTTCCTATCATCAGGACATTTCATTGCCTCAAATATTTTCTCCAATTGCATAATCCATCCCTTGGCTTCTAGTGGGTTTACAGCACCCTTCAAAGAAGGTGGGTTAAATTTCTTAAATTGTTTGATATTACTCACACCATTTCCCGTAACTGACTGCTTGGGTAAATTGTTGTTTTCTATCTGATGTTGCATTAAAGTAACCATATTTGCCAAGGTTTTATAAATTCTTTCCATATTAGCTTCAGCTATTATGGATCTTGACTTTGTCCCGGTATGTACACACAATAAATGTGATTTTAAGTACATTTTTTTTAAATTTCCTAAGAATCTTAAACCTATCGCTCTGATACCATAACTGTCACACCCCAAGAATTTACAATACAGATATTCCTGAGATGTGACAGTCAAAACAAAGTAATTTTAGATAACTACCATGCATTGAATCAAAATCAAAACCCCCTTTTAGTTTATTTTATTTTTTTTGAAATTTTAGGATTATTACATAAACTCTGTTCATAACTAATATTAACATAAAGGTCTAAACATATGTACATCTCTTGACAAGACAAATTTACAATGGCGAATTCTTACAAAGTAACAAAAGGAAGTTTAAGCACAACTACAATATCTTCCAAAGTTGATCCTGACGAGCACTCAAAATGAAACCGCAGTTATCCTGAAAAAAATGTTTACCATAGTTTGATGAGTTTGGCTACTCAGTAAGTGATCATCATAATCTTAAAAATAACAATGGTTGAAAGATATCAATATTTTCAAAAAAGAGATCTATTAACAGAAATGCATCAACAGTTTCACTTTAAAAAATACATACTTAAGTATAATTCGAATAATTGAAATGCGTATAATATTTTAACGGCAGTGTATAATTCAAAGGATTTCACAAAATACCCTACTGGATTCTCAAGTAGGTCACCTATATACCCCATCAGCATCCTGATGGGTCCACTTAATCCCTATCGACGTCCCAGATAGGTCCACTTAATCCTTGTAGGTCCACTTATACCTCACATACCGGATGAGTCCACTTAATCCCTATCGGCATACCGGATAGGTCCACTTATACCTCACCGACGAACCGGATGAGTCCACTTGCATACTTAAAGTATTTTTAAATCTCTTTAAACATTCGAAAACAGCAATATCTTGTTCTTAACATATAACTGCAATTATTAATATGAATTTCACTGAAACCATTAATAACAATCACTTTCAATACCAATTAAAAAATACCCAGTCAAATATTTTTGGGCTCAAATTCAGAAAGGTAGCAGTTCGTAAAGACATTCTAGCATAATTGCCAATCTAGTATGTATAGAAAAACTCTTATAAAAATCCAAGAATACAGAATTATCACAAATTATGGGATGTCAATTTGCAAATAAACGTTTCACAGACAATGCTATAATCAAATACAAAAATATTAGTTTTCAAATAATAAGGCAATCATTTGCACATGAATTTTATAATGTCTAAATATTAAAAAACAGTAGAAAGAAATCTCACAATTTTACTAAAAGCAGAAATATCACATTTATTTCTAATAATTTTACAATATCTAAAATTCTCTAACAATAAACAAGAAAAATAAATTTATTTCTAAGAATTTACAACATTTAAATTTTTTAACATGGATAAAATATCACAATTTTATTAAAAAGATTATTTTTTTGAGACAATGAGGGCACTTACAGTTGCTCATCAGATTTGATTCATCGGAACCATATATAGGTCTGGACCTTCAAAATGGTCTAAGAGATTCAAGGTTTAGAGTCCTTAAGCTTTACTTTGTACGGTTACTGCTCTCGTCTCTTTATTTTTTTTGGAGGAACTAACCCTTGTCGGATGGTCAAGCTCCTTGAAATTGCTGACTACATAGCAGAAGTAAAAATTATATAAGCGAATGAAGACCTCATTGCTAGGCTGTTAAAAAGGGATGGTCGGAGTAAGACAAATCAAAGCGTGTTTTCCTGTTATCCTCATAACTCATACGTATATAAGGGATATAAGGGAAAACACATTTTTTTCTTTTTCTAATGATTTACAATATTTAAAATTCCTAACAGTAAATAAATCACAATTTTACTAATTGTTTTTTTATTTTTTCAAAATAATGAGGTCGCTTGCGCATAAAATTTATCGTACCTAAAAGTCATGATAATAAGCAGAAGTAATGTTTTAATTTCATTTTTAAAAAGAACGGATTATTTTTCAAGATAATGAAGTCACTTAACTAAAATATTTGAGAGGGAGCTTCGGATAAAAATTCGGCTAGAGAGAGGAGCTCACTGTGTTTGTAAGAGGGAGAGCGAGAGTGGAGTTCTATAAGGTGATGCCGTGTACCCTTCACCTCACCCTATTTAAATCTTTTAAAACGCCTCCATCTCATATATGAGGTGTAGCGTAAATGTCTGCCTTTAACATATAAAAACCACGTCAACAAAGCTTAAACCAAATGAAGGTAAAAGCTTTTTAAAGTAGTGATGGTCCCTAAGGACCGTCATGCTCATATGGACCATCACTTATTAAAAGGCTTTTTTTTTTTTTGAAGTTTTAAGATTATTCCACCCGTCGACTGTCAAACCAAATCAATGTTTGCTAGATTGGGTCACAAGCATCTTAAAAGGCCTCCCCACCACCATACCAAAACTAAAGCCTAGTGTATTGGGTCACAAGCCCCTTAAAAGGCCTCCCACCACCGGACCAAGATTGAAGCCTGCTGGATTGGGTCACAAGCCCCTTAAATGGGCCACCAACCACGAGACTAATTAAATTCTGATAGATCGGGTCAAAAGCCCGTGAGAAAGACCTCGATTGCAAGACATACCCAAATTCTAATAGAATGAGTGACAAGCACCTAAGAATGCCCCCCAACTATTGGAACCAAAAGAACCCACCAATTACTCCTTGAATGGTTAGGCGTGATTTACCCTCTTCCAAAGATCACGTTGATGCTGGTAACTGGGAAACAAAGTTGGGAGAAAAAAAATGCCCTAAGTGAAATCCAAAGATGAACTCAGGCAATTTTATTCTAAATGTCATATTTTTCTCTCTTCTCAAACAGTGACATTCAGTAGGGCAAGTTGTTGGCGCGTATGTTTTTATGCACCTTCCCCATGCAAATCTAAGAGGCGGGGATTGCAAGTCTAGCGGACCGATGCCACCGTATTGACGCTTCTCTCCACACCCCCAAAACAAAAAAGAAAAGAAAAACGATCCCCTTTTTTACATGAGGAAAATTGTCTCATGGACCGCATGACTACATAGACCTCATGACTATATATGCTGTCCAAAAAATGTAAAGCATCCATCTTAAAAGATGATGCAAGTAGGTGTTCTATCTAAAAACAATGGAAAGTAACGGTTCAAATCTTTTCTTATGAGAATTATTACTTACAGGATTTAAAATTTACTTATTTTTTAATATTCATGATCTCCATGTGAGAGATTACACGTCCTTAAAACTTAAGTCAAAAAATACATCACAAAAGTAAAATCATTAATGGGCCCGTATTTCTACAAATGCGGGCTTGGTCGCATAGAAACCCCGTGCTTCCATTCTCTGATTTCATCTCTGTCAAACCCCGCTGCACAGCCTCACGTTCTACATTGTCCGTTTCCCTTTTCATCATAAAAGTGAAGAAATTCGAAGGCCCCTATTATAGTCCTCTCTCTCAAACCCCCTCCATTTGTCTCTCTAAATCTCTTATCTCCCTTTTGTAACTCCAAAACCAGCGTGCGTCTCCGAAACTCCGAAGAAGGCCAAGAGAAAGATGTGAGTTTTCTGAATTCTTCTATCTCTAACTAACCTACTTCTCTTCCTCTGTAAATAGTAACATACTACGTACTAACTTTTGAGGAGTGCAATAGGCTTTCTTTGCCGAGTTCTTTTCTTTGATCCTGCTTTTATTCTCGCGAACTTCTCCTACTTTCTCTCTGTGATGAATGGATTAATTATCCTTTTATCTCTCTACCCAATACTCATTGCCTATGTTTCTTAAGGTGCTTAAAACTCATGCTAATTATCAAAGCTTAAAATAGGACAAATTCAAGGAGTTATCTTTTAAGGTTTCTACAGTATTATTTATTTATTGTAATTGGGCAGTTTAATTTGCTTTCTTTGTAACTAGGATTTTCAGTTTTCTCTCTGAAATTGAAGGTAAAAACCTTTCTCTGTAACTAGGATTTGTAACTAGGTTTTTCAATTTTCTTCTGAAATTAAAGAATTCACCTCAAAATTTTTTAAGCCATGCTAATTATCAACACGTAAAAATGAAATATTCTAGACTTATTGCAAGGGTTCTCTTTCAGGCTTTCTACAATTTTTTATTTAGCCAGGGTTTTCAATGTACTTTCTTAAATCAAGGAATTCACTTTAAAAATTTTCATCCACATGCTAATTAGCAAAGCTTAAAATTTGAAAAATTTAGACTCATTCAATAGGTACTCTTTTGAGATTTTCAAATTTTTTGAATATTTTTGAAATTAAGGGCTTCACCTTTCAAGGGTTTGTCTTTAGGGTATCTACATATGATTTTTTTTTTTGGTTGTAATTAGGTTTTTCAATTTTCTTCTATGAAATTGAGTGCTTCACCTTTTTTTAATCTCCACATCCACCATTGTTAAACCTTTTGATTGTACAATGATTTCAATTACAATCACATATTGCATATTATCATTTAATTCATGGTTATACTTTAAATTTTTTGTAATTATTTAGTTATAAATAGTCATTATAATATTATCTATTATTTTTTTGACTATGCAAAACATTTGAACATAATTTCTTTTAGAGCCCTTTCGCATGAGATTTTTTTATTAGTAAAGTTGTTTCGCTAACCACTCCATCCTTTAGTAAGGTTGAATGAGGTTGGTTTACTTAATTTGTTATAAAGGCTTTTTTAAATTGATTTACTCAATTTCTTTGCCGTTTGCTTAAAATGCATTGTTCATGCCTTTCGTGCTTATGTGTGTGTATACAATATGCCAACAATGACCAATTTATGTTATATGGTAATGAATTAAATAGGTCCCCTAGAGAGCATTATCTGTGAAAAATTATAAATGTTATTGTGGCCAATTTGTTTCATATGCATGCTTTTATTTTTATTTGAGATTGGTTGCTTACCCTTTTCAAGTTTTAGCCAAAGATATTGGGGCGTTGTTAATCTTTTGTGATTAAAAATATTATCATCATCGTCAAAGCCTTTTTCCAACTAATTGTGGTTGGCTACATGAATCCTTGTTCGATTAGAAACAACGAGATGAAAACAATTTCCTTTTGTTCTTGATATTTATTGGATTATTACTGTATCACCTTTTCCTGAATTATTCAAATCTTGATTATTATTTTTCTTTGAGATAGCTTGGTTAACTTTTCTGAGTTTTAGCTAAAGATGTCGGGCATTGTTTATTTTTAGTTATTAGAAATACAGAGATGAAATATAAATTTTTTCCTTTTCTTCTTGATCGTTATTGGATTATTGTTCTTTTATTTTAATAACTTCTAATTATTGAATTATTGTTCTTACTTCTTAGAAATGGTTGAGTATTACATAACTCCTAACGTCTATTTTATAGTATATCATCTATTCTTGAGTTATGCAAATCTTGGTTATAAGTTACACACTTGTTATCATCAAGGGTTACATATGGCACTAGAGTTAGATTTAGAACTACATAGAAGTTTAAATTAGTTGTCTGTCCAAATGGTAGTTGTAACAAATGTGTGGAGCACGAGCATTTTGCTAGTACAATTAATCAGATTCTTTGGAAATTTGCATAAAAAATTAGTATAGCAAGTTGCTCTTTTTCTTTTTTCCATTTTTGTTTTTTTGGAAAATATCATGATATAATGGGTGCAGTGCCCGCTCAAAGCCCCCACTATCTTAGTGGAAAAAAAATTATATCCCACAAAATTGACATAAATCCCCAATTTTGGTTTTTTCATTGTTCTTTGATGAAAACGAATTATGATTATATTATAAGCAAATATGCATCACAAAATCGACCAAAGGCAAGTTAAGTTCTCTCTCTCTCTCTATTTTTTTTTTTTTGTTGGGGAAAAAAATCAGTAGGTTCCAGAAACATTAGCAAACATACAATCAGTATGTGTTCAATTATTTTTTTCTCTTTTTGTTTTTCTTTGATAAGAAAGAAATTATTATGCAATGAAAATATGGAACTTATCGTATATTGTCCTTGGTTAAATACTGCAGATATTGATCATTGTATTTGTGTTGAAATGGGTTTTTGTTCTCTTATTTTTTGAGTTGAAATTGGCTTGCTTGTATTTCTTTTTAGTGTTCAAATATTCAGGTTAGGGAGCATAAAAAATATGCCTTCTTAATGGCTAACTTGTTTTTTTTTTACAATTTCTTAATGGCTAACTTGTCAATCCTTACGTATATTATCATCATAATCATCCAAGCCTTATCCCAATTATTTGGGGTCGGCTACATGAATTATGTTCCTCCATTCGTCTCTATCAAGGCCATACGCTCAGTAAGACTAAAAGTCACCATATCTTTTCTCACTTCAATTCTTACATATATATTGATGATTGTTAAAGTAATCTGCTCGATATCATTGTTTTTCAAAAATTTATTATAGAAAGGTTTCTCGTTATTCATGTATTTTGATTGGAAGCCGTTGTGTATTTCATTTTATAAAGTTAGCTTTCTAGATATAACCTTTTTGTTGTTGTCATTGATTTTGCTGCAAATTGTTCCATGCATGTTAACATGTTAAGTATTGAGGCATTGTAATATAGCGGATCATGTAAATAAATATGTTGCAATGCACATAATTCTTCTATTCTTATGATATTATTGGCATATTTTTTTTTGAGAATTGGTTAACTTTACAAGATATTATTTGCATATTTTGTTTTAGGATCCTCTAACCCAGATCCAGCTTGTCTTGTGGAAGTTCTTGAGATGACATGGTCCTGTCTCCAATACATATAAATAAACTTGTGAGAACTGCAATGGAATTCCTTGTTGAACTGGTTGGTTCTCCAAATGCCAAAACCGGGCTGCATACAATAGAAAATCTGATCATCTGAAAAACTTATTTGATATGGCTTGAATCTGCCAGAGTCTTTGGAAAGCATGATTGCTGGAAATTTTTCGTAATATGTATTTTTCCAGATGCCCATCTGGATGGAACGACGTTTGAATTGGATTTGACCTAATTGGTCCCTTTTCCAAATAAAATACTGGTCTGATATGTGGAGAAAACTAAACATGTTTTGGATTTTCTTATTTCTTATTGAGAGGACTTTAACAATATTGTTCTATATTCAACTAGTGAGGCTTATTAGTCTAAATTCCTAAATATCCACTGCCTCTCCTCTTTGTTGAGTAAGGGTAATCAGTGTTAAATTAATTCCCTGAGTCATTCTATTCCTTTTACGAATTTCCTCAAAGACCTTGAAGTGGTTTTGTCTAATAATATCCTAATATTACCGAAATTTGAAAATGTCTGCCTTTGATTTCCTCTGCATAAGTTTTCTTTCAAGCCGTAAACACTGCCAGGATTTTAGTCATTAGATCTGAGTTCGTTAAAACAAGTTTCTTGCTTCCTTGGCATTGTAAAAATCTTTAAAAGTAATCAATTACTGCCTTGCTGATAGTGTCCTTTTCCCAGGGTGATCATACTCCTGGTATTATTCGTTTATTCTCAAGCTTGCGGTAGCATGGAGGAAATCACGTGTTCTTTCTGCAATGTTAGAGACATAAAGCTTTCAATTTTTAAGTCTAACTGATCTCCTTGTAAATAGATTCTGGATACCTTTCGGGTTTCCTCTTTTCTTCTTTTTCTCTTTAGTCGAAATGCCTCACTTTACACTTCTCTAGTTCCCTGACTTGCCGTAATGATGATCTTCTTTTTGATCTTTGTATTCCGGTCCCAACACCCGCGTGTAAATGTTGGATATGTACCGTTTTCTTTTGTTCGTAGAAAGGAGAGAGTTGGCATCTCTCATTATAGGGTTGGGAAGAGCCTTGGGCTTACCTCTTGTGCTATAGATGACTAACCTATTCCTGAAACGTGAGATGTAGATATCGCCGCAATTTGAGAAGCGGATAGCCTGCTTGAACAATTACCCCTTACCCTACTAGCCAAGATAGCTGTATAAGTCGTGGTCACCCCAGGATCATGCCGATTGCAAGAACTAGAATTCTAAAAGCAAATAGCCTAGCCTCTTCAATGCAGTTACCAAGTGTACTGGCTTAAGGCTATGCTACACATGTTTTTAGTTGGATCTTACCCATGGTTTGTCTAGCAAGCACACACAAAAAAGGCAGTGTTTAATGGAATCTAAAGATGGCTCATCCTTGAAAGGAAGTCTTGATTCCTTGGAGTTTGAGTGTCCAAGCCACACTATCTCAAATATTAACCCAATCCTTGTGATTAAACTCAAATTAACCTTGATGACCTCAATGGGCCATAGAACCTCTACTTTTACTTGCCTGTTTGACATCTTTAGAAGCCCAAAGGAATAGCAACTCTCTGGGACCTACCTTAGGCGTGTCCAACAAAAATATTTATTTGTTCTGAAAATCCTTTAAAAAGTACACCGTGAGGCTGTAGAAGTTATTTATACTTCCTAAAATGTTCTTACTTTTGTTTTTATATTATTTTTATGAAATAAACTTTTGGGTTTCTCAACTAAAACGGCTAGTAAAATTTTCTTCTCATTACAAGTTCTTAGCCTTTGGATTGAGAACTATGCTTGAATTTCTACTGTCTTAAGCAACATTTTCAATTATT